AATCCTTCCAAATGTCAGACTGTTAATTTTAGTTTCCGATGTAAACGAAAGTTAAATGAAGCCGTCGCTTCCTATGACAACATTGATGCAACATTGATGATACTGATATAGAAACCAAGTATGAACTTAAGTATCTTGGATTAAATCTTTCTTCTGATGTATCCTGGTCTTCCCATGTCTTAGTGATTTCCAAAATAATATTTCGTCTGACTTTTACATTAAGAAGTTAAGGCACTCAGGCATAACTCAACCAACGCCTCCCCCTATACTTTGTCAACTCGCATATTTTACTTATCCTTCTTTACTGTTCACCCTTATTCTTTCCTGGATTGCTTAAGAAAGACTATGTCATACTTCGTAGAACTGTGAAGACTGTCAGTAGGACGAGTGATATCTCATTGGGCCATATCGTTGACATTGTCACGGATAAGCACTTGATGTAATCCAACAAATTTGCTAAAGGAATTTTGTCAGACTATGAGCACCCACTCTACCCGCAGCTCCAACCTTGTGTCTCCTCAGGTAAAACAAGAAATCTTTTCAGAAGACTATGTGCACGTACGTCTAAGTATAAAAATTCCACTATACCATATTTGGCGCGTACTTTTTGTGATGAAAATAGTGTCCGGCATGAACTAACTGACCTTCTTTGCACTACTAAATAAACCGTTTCTTCCACTCTTACAGTAACAAATTTTATTGTTATTTTATTTCTTATATTTATAATCCTCTCAATTTTTTGTTTTCATTTATTTATTTTTCATAAGTATGCTGTGTTACCACTGTTAATCTTGTATTTCCCCTCACCATACTCTGTCAACAGAACATTAGATTCAATACTCTATAGTAACATGCTAAAATTTCCAAACTGAATCGACAATACTGTTTGAAACAAACTCACTGTTATTATTATTATTATTGTTAATATTTAATGATCTCAATTTGTGCTTCGAATATTTTTGACTTTATATTGTAAACGTGGACAAACTCCTCTGGTTAATTTTGTTTTAATTTTTAATTTTATTTATATTTTGAGTAAATCAGATGCAATATTGTGACAAATGCTGAGAATTCCATTCTGTATTATAAGCACTGTTTTTGGAATAAAGTTAATTATTATTATTATTGTTATAATGAATGAATATGTGTATTTGAACATTCTGTTTCATGTCGTTTAATGTAACCTGAAGCCACACGCTCAATTATTAGTTACAGTGTAAACTATACATATATAGCTGTTTGATCAGTTGAAAATATACCTTGGCTTCCGTGTCTCGCCATCTGCTGTTACAATGATTTCATTTTAAAGCCTTGGGGCTGCTAGCTTCTCACCGGTCCTTCTCTATTTACCGGCATTACTACTGACTTAGTGGAGTTTAAGAGGGTGTCGACTGGATATCGATTCCCGGAACTTTGGCGGGATTGGTGAGTATTACACTGCTGTTGTGGTGAGAGCTGGATGTTAGCCAAAATTGGTGGAAAGTAATTCACGTCAGTTTTTATGTCCCCAGTATTGGTCGTAAGAAAAATGAGGACAAAGGCTTTGCGTAAGCGGATACAGTTAACATATAGATGATCTGACATTCAAGAAACAGCCACAAAGAGATGCAAGGTTAACTCTCTGTGAGAAACAACCAATCAGAAGACTGGGTTTTTCTGCGAACAATAATCTATAATATGTACATGAAAATCTATAAATATGTGTTGATTTGCTAAATAAACGATCTGTTGACTGACTATTGTCTTCTATTGTTACACTGTAACTGATACTTATCATCCAACATTCATTTACCATAGAGCATGCTGTCATTCAGCTTTTGGTAACACACCATACACCTGGTCGAATGATTTTGATCAAGATTTAGAAGCAGAAGATCGTATAAAATATTTCCATCTATCTATCATATAAGATCATCTATAAATGATGTACCCAATAACTCAGTGATAACGTCTCTGACTGCAGCACTGGGTGACGTGGGTTCGAATCTCAGAAGGGACATGAGTTTTTTCAAGTTTGCAGATATGCCTTGCTGATGAGTGCCAACTAGCGCGAAATCTAGGTCCAAGGTTTCCTGCCGATTGCCTCCAGCCATCTAATATCATCAAAACAATGTGCACCTTGACGGCGAGCTAGCTAGAATAGTGGTGACATTACAACCTGACTGATAGAATTCAGTCTGCACCAATCACAGGACTAGACACATTACACTAGTTGCTAGTGTCGAATACTTCACAATATTCTTCTCAGAATAAAATTCTATTATATTACTGGTATTTAGTATGGTTGTATTTTCAGTGAGAATTCAACTTACAAAGCTCAGAGTAACAGAAATGTGTTCATCATGTTTGAAAAGGGAGCTTATTTCTTTTTTCAACTGTGAGTAAAACCACAAATACTTTTTTTTTCATTATTTATCATTATACAAGTGAAGAAAAGAAGGAGAGAAAAGAAAACTGAAATTTTGAATAGTTAACATTTGAAAAGTCCACATCATGCTCACCTTGACTAGTAACCTGAATCAAATGTCAGTTAAACGCGAAAAAGAAAACAATGAAACAAAACGAATAAATGAAAAAGAAGAAGAAGGAGGAGAAACGAAGTGACCCTCCCCCCCCCCGCCCCTAAAGAAAAAAAAAGATCAGTTAAGAGTATTTATCAACTTTCCTCAATGATATTCACACAGAAATAGTTACACACAATTAAAAGCATAAAGACTGTACATTATTTCTATCTGTTTAATGTTAATTATACTTATGCATGTGAAGATATATGTAGATGATGTTGTTGTTGTTTTGAACGACTGACTGGATGAGTGAATAAATAAGGTGTATATCTGAAAGACATTTGGTGAGAAGCTGGAAACAAATTAATTCTTCGACTGTTTTCTTACTTCTCTGTGTATGGTATTGTGATTACAGGAGTAGAAGAGCACTGATGACAATAGCAGTGTCACAGACAGTTAATAGAAACCTTTGTTTCAACTGATACTTGCCGAAGAAGAAAGCAACTAAAAATAAAGTGAAAAAAGAGAAAACAATAATAATACTTAAAACAATTTATGAGTATCACTCAAGCCAAATTATATTGTTCAATCATCCATTACTTCTGCGTATAGACACACTATAATTCATATGTGTGTACACTGCACATCAGAAAGTTATACATCACTAAAGTGTATACTTCGCAAAATTTTATTCCACTGAAACATTTTTATTGTTGTAAACCTTAACAGATTTCCATATATATTACTGTAAGGTAGTAAGTTTCACTGGAGTAAAATCAAAACAAAAGTAGGTTAGGAAGCATTTAAACCTTTTGGTTGGACGCTAGTCAGTAATTAGTGTAATGTGCCTAGTCGTATCGTTAGTGACGACTGAATTCTATCAGTCAAGTGTACAATGTCATCACCATGCTAGGTGACTTGCTATCATGCTGCATTGTGAATTGTCAGTATTAGATAGATGGAAACAATCAGAAGAAAGCCTTGGACTCAGGTTTCGTGCTAGTTGGCACTTACCACTCACCAACCTCAAAGGAACGCGTATACCTTCTGAGATTCGAATCCGCCTCACACAGAGCTGCAATCGAGATTGCAGATACGCCTAGCTGACGAGTTCCAACTGACATGAAGCCTAGGTTCAAGGTTTCTTGCCGACTGCCTCCAATCATCTAACGCCAGCATTTAAACCTTCTTTCAAATCAGACTAGTACGTAATAAATGCATTTCAGCAGGGGTACTAAAGGCTTCGATCAACAAGGCTAAGAGTACACAAACATTTGGTATAATTTTTATACTACTTATGAGTAAACTAAGGAATATTGCAAAAACGTGATATGAATCATTAATCAGATTTGAGTTATCCCCATTTTCTGACCCGTTTAATGTAATCTGGTTCAACTGCTTAAGAATGAATTTGAAGGCGAATTTAAAGCAGACTACTAGAAGTGGGGCTTCCTGGCAATACATTAACTTCATTTCTCTCAAGAAGATTAACAAACGTGCAGTCTTATAAGAAATGTATTTTATAGTACGTATAAGTGATAGGAATTTTCTCAGTTGCTTGCGCCGTTCACAAAGAGTATGACGTTGTTCACCCGATATGAGAACATAGAATGTCAGTGAGTGAAGTCGAGTACATGGTCTATAAAAGCTGATGATGTTGTCTTAAGACAAATTCGAAGTTATTTCCAATGCTTACTAAAAACACCAAAGGATAGAATTTTCTCTCCTTCTTCGAATAGTACTACTTGAATTCAATGAATACATATGGATCAAAAATAGTGTGATTTTAAAGTGATCATGGAATCTAGGAATCTTCTTAGGTAGTATTCTGTTTCTGTCAGTTTCCACCGGTGCACTGTATCAAATTACATTTACACAATTTATTCATCTTTTTAATAAGTTTTTCCTTCAGTTATTTTCATTCACCTCTTGTAAGTATCAATGATGTTTGCGATATGTAAACAGATAAACAATGAATCCTTCTCTATTGGTGACATGGTGATCGAGGTCATTCTGAAAATAACCCAGTCAGAAATGGCCTACGTAAAATAATGTCCACTGCTTTATTGATCATAATTATGGACTAATCAACACATTCTTAATGATTTTTTCGGAATCTTGCACTACTGTCTGTAAAATATACCATGACTGATGGTTAAATATACTTTTGGGCTCACGTCGTTGTATGTTCTCACCTAAGTAGAGGAGACAGGGGAAACAGGTAGCTGTCGTATACTGTTGTTGGCATAATCAAGTGGTATTCGTTACCAGAGCATTTGTTCCCAACTCAGCATCCCTATTTGAATCTCAATGTTATTGAGAAATATAAGAGTGATAACACTATAACAGGTTAACACAAATCACTACAAATTCAATCATTAAAAAAATTTACTCTATTATTGTTATTATTATTAATAATTCTGTCCAAAAGTAAAATTATATAACTTACTTAAAGAGAAATAATATAGACGTTATGTTTTGGTATATATGATTTAATTATTTCACATTATCATATTGACACATATTTAATGTACTTCTAGCTGATGAATTATTCTCATTCAAAAGATTTTGTCTTTGTTGATTACGTCCTTTAGCTCGACGATTTTTAAACCAAACTTGTACTCTTGACTCGGGTAGGCGTAGTTTTAAGGCTAATTCTTCACGTACGTAGACATCAGGATATCGTGTTTTTGCGTATAATTCTTCTAACATTAATAATTGATGTCGTGTAAAAGTGGTTCTTTCACGTCTTTGTCGACGAATTTGATTACCTAAATTAAAAAGTAACATCTTTTCTGAGTGATCTTTTTTTCAAAATATACTTTTTTTTGTAAAGTTTATGAAATATTAAAGTTAACGTAAATTAAAAAACACTCCAGGACTGAATGATTTCTAATAAAGATTAAAATGTTTACCATGACCTTATAAATGAAAAAAAATTATCTTACGGATTACATAGTGAATTAAGAAAGATCACTATCTCAACTGGTTAACTACCGGTTGGATGTTTGTTAGACCATCTAAGATAGTCACAGATACAACTTGTCAGATGAGTATGAAAGCACTAGTTGAGATGTTGTGGGAGGTGTTGATTAGATGTTCAATAATGGCACTTCTGATTGAACTGGTGCCTCCTCTTTGCAGCCACGCTGGGTAATATTCTCTAACACGTTTTGAAAGGACGCGCATACAACGACCTATGTACCTAGCTCCGCACGAGCAGGTGAACTGGTATATACGCATTGAATTGATCAGAAGTGCCATTACTGAACATCTGATCAACACCTCCCACAACATCGCAACTGATTCTTTCAAAGTAATTTACAAAGTCAACAGAATATGAAAGCATCCGACCAGTAGGCTCCAAAATACCACGTTTGTATGAGCTACCAAAAATTCACAAGACAAGATTATCCTTCTGTCCAATTCTAGATATGGCCGGTTCTCCTTATCACGGAATAGCTCGCTGGCTAGCTGAACTACTGGAACGAGTTAGAAGGCAAGTGTGTCTGAGTTTTCCATTAATGATACATTTCAATTTATTGAGATTAATAAAGATTTTAATGCCTCAGACAAAGTCATGTTCTCATTAGGTGTGACTTCGCTATTTACCTATGTACCTCTCATCAAAACTGTTAGTTATGTCTGTGATTATATTGATGCGCAAAGAACTTTTATTGAGATACACGTTGAATGTTGAGTTCATTTAGACAGATAGATGGTATTGCAATGGGATCACCACTGGCTCACTGCTGGCTGATAATTCTATGGCGAAGCGTGAAAACTCTCAACTCAGTCAAACCATAGGTCATTTCGACATTTATAGAAGATATGTAGACGACACTTTTGTTATCTGCGATGAGAACGTAATTCTTGACGATATCTTGTTTGCATTTAATATCTACCATCCCGCTTTGCAATTCACCATAGAAAAGGAATCTGAACTAAGCATTCCCTTTCTTGATGTATGCCTTAGTAGATGTAATCATGTATCTCTCAAAAGATCCATCCACTGGAAAAGTATGTGGAATGGACAACTAGATAATTTTTTAGTTGAGTGCCTATCTCCAGGAAAAGGAACTAAATTCATCTGCTCTGCTTTAGGATAAGATGTATTTGTAATTCCCATTGCGTAGACTCAGAACTTGCTTTGTTAAAAGCCAAACTCTCAAAAAATGGTTACTCTGACCGATTTATTGATAAAAACATGAAAGATATCAGTTGAAACTGGTCATCGACTCAGTTCCAAAGAAAACTATGTTCATGAACTTAGAATTCAAAGGTGGTCAAGCTTCAGATATGCTCAAAAACTATCTCTCTAAATGCTTCAGCAAGACGTTCTTTGCTGCAATATTATAAATGACGTTCACCGGCCGTAAGTTGTTCTCCAGCTCTGTAAAAGATAAGCTCCGTCGTCTGACCACCTGCATGTGCATCTATCAGTTCACCTGCTCTCGCGGAGCAAGGTAAATTGGCCGTAGCTAGAGAACGCTTTCCACACGCATACGAGGGAATATTCCATCATGGTTTTACAAGGCGGAAAGGAAGGGTGTCCGAAGCTCTGTTGTAGAATACCTGATCGACTCCTGTCATTCTACCAACCCTGATCATGATTTTAAGATTATCTACCGAAATCATGCCAACTTGCCGCATTTTCTTCCTTATAAACTTCTAAAGACAGCAGAGGCCTTGGCCATTCATGAATTTGAGCCAGACTTTTGTGCACAAAGGAAGTATGTGCAATCTCTAGTCCTGCCTTGGCCGTAGAGGGATAAACATTTATTTATTTTAATTTATTCTGTTTATTTAGTTAATCTATGTACCTTGCCCCCATTACTACGATTATTACTATTATTAATATTCTTACCTTGAATTATTTCCACTTGTCCCAGTTATTATTCTGATACCACAAATATTTTTGCAATGTTGGATTCTATCTTATCAAATTTCACACCATGTTGTGTGACGTTTCATGTTAGCCTGCTAACTCTATAACTATACACCCCTTTCTAACATCTATACACCTTATGAATTATTTTATATATGATATTGTTTTGTCAATTTGCATTTTACTCCAGTTATGATCACAAATGTTACAGGGTTTTATCATGAACTGACATTGGTTAGAGAACCTTCCCTACAAACCAACACTTGAATATCAATCTGATGCTCACTACTGACTGGTCCTATTCAGGTAGGTAGTTACCTGGGGTTCTAGTGAGAAGTCGTGACCAGTGGGGTACAGCAGGTTGGGCGTGGGGACAAATACTTGGCTAGTGGTCGCGCCATATAGTGAATTGGCAGAGGTTGGAATTCATGGGCTGGTTACTGAATAGGGTCTCAGTGGCTAAATGGTCAAGGAGCTCAGGTCATCGGTCAGAACCCTCAAGGAGGGTGTGTTCTGATGAAGAGTCTTAAATTGGGATGAAACAGTTCCCCAGTACTATCTGGTTTTCAGTGGTTCTCTAACTGATATTAATCCGTGTTCAAACTCGTAAAAACTGTTGGTATCGTGGACTGCATCACAAAAGGATTTCTGTGTAATAATAATAATAAGGAAATTAAATTCGAAAAAGGTGGAAAGTTCCAATACTCCTTAAAAACTTTAAACTCCCCTTCTAGCTGATCTTACTCCATCCTAAAATGTAACACTAAACAGACAACATTAATTTCCTGTTTTGACTGGGGCTCTGATATCTGTCATATACACACCAAACTATAATTTATTTTGACACATTACAAGCTAAAATATGATTTGGTCACCAAAGAAAAAAAATAAAGACTGTTGAACCAGGAGATGGGATTAGTTTATGAAATCAACTCTACAATTGAACACTTTAAAAGCCCAATGTAGTACTGATGAAGCGACAGCCCATAAGGGAATTGTGCCACCTGACTAAGTAAGCCATTTATCGAGCTCACTTTTATTTTTTTACATCTATTCACTGTTTATTTGATTCATGACTCGAATACACTAAGTGACAGAAGTTTACTGGCAGTATCTAAATTTTTGAAAATTGTTAAAGTTGAGTGGATAATAGTAGCGTCTTCAGTTGTCATGAGTGACTCGTTAGCCAGACACTATATATGCGTTAACATGTACCCATTTTACTTCCAGAAAGAAACACCAACAGAATCTTGGCTATATGAACTTAATCCGCCAATGTTAGCTACTGACGTCTATCCGAAATGGAAAAACATGCCTTCTGTGTCTACTTCATATTAAGCTTGCTAATCAACGCTATTGGTCGACGCAGCTGATTTTCAACTAGCGATACTAATTTGTCTGCTAGCTTTACTCCAAATTTTTATAGTGTCGAGTAAATCATAATTTGTTTTTTCAGCATTTTGAATAACAAAGGAAATCACGATGGACTGTTCCAACAAGCTTGGAATTTCGCGTAAGATGTTCTTTGATACCTCCAATTCCGTTGAAGATATGCATTATTTTCTTTGTCCACGCATTAGTTATACTCAAACACGAAATTTTAGATTTTTACTGCAGTTATTCACTGCCGAAATTAAGGACATGATATCACATTCAAAGTAGCATCATTACTTATGTGTTCCAGCCAGTTTGTCGCACCTGGTATACACTCAGAGTATACACATTCTGCATCTAATAATAATAATAATAATATGGAGGTTTGGGTGACACTGGTAATGAGCTGTATTCCAGAAATAGATGCCTATTTCAAGTTTTGGTTTGTAGGGATTTGATTGGTTTCAGGATTTCATCATGAGCTGACATTGGTTAGAGAACCATTGGAAAACCTGCAGAGAGTACTGAACAGCTGTTTCGTCATAGTTTGGGACTCTTAATCAGTACGCAACCACCCCACGCGGGGTCGAAACCAGCACCTTCTGGTTACAAGGCGAGCTCGTATACCATTAAGCCACTGGGACCCTGTCCAACGGCCAGCCCATGAATTCTAACTTCTGCCAATTCACGACATAGCGCAACCCCATCCAATGTCTTCGGCGAGTATTTATCCTCACACTCGACTGGCTGCACTCTACTGCGTATTTACCAGACTTTTGATTTTAGGCAGTTTTTCAAATATTATCAATTCGATAGTAAGACAGTCTCAAATAGTCTTGAGTTATCAGACTGTTATAAATGTATTGGGTGGTAATCGAAGATGTAGTAAAAATCCATGTCGTCTAGTGAGACGATTAGTCCGGACTAGTAATTTAAAGGTTGCTGATCCAATCATGCCACCACCTAGATTTTAATCCCATCATTAATCGACACCCGGTACATAAATATTAACAACAAGGTTTAGAAAAACGTTGGCATTCAAGTTAAGCACTTCCATATGGACTGATAAACTGAGAGTATAGAGTGAGTTGTGCGTTGGTGGCACAGTGGTAGAATGCTCGCCAATCGCACAGGTGGTTCGGGGTTCTATCTCCGGCCAACGCACTCCTTTACCTCACTAAGCCAGTAATAGAACTGGCAAAGAGGGATGGTTGGGCATGAGGTTAGCAAATCCATCCTGTAAAAATAATCACCACTGCTACAGAAACTTCAAGCCTCTAGCTTGAAGCCCTATGATCCACTGGGAACGAAAAGGAATAAAAAAAATAGAGTGAGTGATTTGACTAGCTCCTTAGGTGACAATATTCCAATAAATGATATGTGAATAAACAATATTATCCAGTGAGTAATAATTTTAAATTGTCTAATATGTAGAACGAACCAGTTTGCACCGGGTTGTGCAGTACAACATCGCCTAAGTTCTACTGTTGTGATAATGTATTACTCATA